GATGTCAACCTTGGTGTCGCCACCCGATCTTGCTACTTTTCTGGGCTTGTAGCTGAAACACAACTGATGCCCAGCTGTTACCTCTAGGGATTATTGCTTAAGAGAGTGGTCATGCAAGGGCTTGTATGGGAATAGTATCTGGCCCTCTTGTTTCTCCTCTAAGGGGGTCTACCACATGACTAGCAACATGCTGGGGAGGAAGGTCAGGGGAGGGTCTGAAGTGCATGAAAGATCAGGCGGTATAAACCGAATCACCATCAATACGCTAGGGGAGGAAAGGTCACCCTGGAGGTGAGGTGCCACCTTATAATTGTCTGTTGCTAGGCACCTGGGGCTTTCCTCCCTGGTGACGGTTCCTACCTGGCCTATCATTCCTATTCAGCTCATGTCTGTCTAACTGCCTACTATACCACAGTGAATAAACTTGAAATGGTTTTATTTTACATGTCAGCAAGAATCTCTGCAGACACTCTCAGAAGTGAAATTGTTGGGTCTAAAGTTTTGTGTATGTTTATCTTGGTACATATCATCAAATTATACTCCTTCCAATTTAGCAATGTTCCTGCTTCCCCACAGCCTCAGCAATAGTGTACTGCCAGTTTTTTAAAAATTTATCTTTATTGTTGAAATTATTACAGAGTTCCTCTTTTTTCCCCATTGACCCCTTCTACCCCACACCCACCCCCAGCCCCAGGCCTTCACCACACTACTGTCGGTGTTCACGTGTTATGAATATATGCACATAAATTCTTTGGTTAATCTCTACCCACCCACACNCTTAAATTAATCTCTTCCCACCCACCCACTCCCGCCTTCCCTCTGAGATTCATCAGTCTGTTCCATGCTTCTATATCACTGAATCTATTTTGTTCACCAGTTTATAATGTTCTTTAGATTCCACATATAAGTGAGATCATGTGATATTTGCCTTTCTCTGACTGGCTTATTTCGCTTAGCATAATATTCTCCAGGTCCATGCATGCTGTCCCAAAGGGTAAGTAAGAGATCCTTCTTTACAGCTACATAGTATTTCATGGTGTAAATGTCCCACAGCTTTTTTATCCACTCATCTACCGACGGGCACTTGGGCTATTTCCAGGTCTTAGCTATTGTAAATTGTGTTATGGACATAGGGATGCATACATTCTTTCTGAATGGTGTGTCATGATTCTTAGGATATATTCCTAGTCAAGAGCTCTGGTGGGGTTATGCTGCCAATCTTTTTGATGCTTGCAAATCAAATAGGTAAAAAATGCTATCTCAGTGAGTTTAAACTTCCATTTTTCTTTTTATGAATGAGGTTAATTTTTTTCACATGTCTAAGAGCCACTGACTTTCTTTTCTATGAACTCTTTTTTCTCTTGAGTTGTAGGATCTTTTCTTAATGACTTCTGGAAGCTCTTTGAAAAATATTAAAATTAGCTTATTGTGTATATGTGTTGGAACTATTTCTTCCTTTTAATCATTTGTCTTTTGACTATGCTCCTGGTGCATCTTGCCAAATCAAAGTTTTTCATAGTCATGGCTTCTGGATTTTGAGAGGACATTAGAAAGGCTTTATTTATGCCAAGATTAAAAATGAATTTTCACACGTACTTATCAAACAGACTATTTTTATCCCCAGTAATTTGAGATGCTTCCTTTCAGATAACAACTTTCCCAAATTATTTGGGTGTATTTCTAGATTTTCTGTTATATTTCATTGGTCTCTCTACTCATGCATCAACGATACACTGTTTCATTGATCAGGGCTTTTAAATTTGTCTTCCTATCTGCGAGGTCTAGGAGCCCTTCCTTATTACTCTTTATTTTCAAAGTTTTCCTGGCAGATATGCTTGCTTTTGATTTTGTTGTGTTTCTTTTCCCCATATGTAAATTAAAAACACTTTATCTAGTTAAAAATAATTATTGGTGTTTTATAGGAATTGCATTAAATTCATAAATTCATTTAGGGAGCATTGACATTATTCTGAGATTAAATCTACTTATCCTAGACTATGGTGTTTTTTCCCATGTTCTTCTGTGCCATTTGGTAGTTATACTTTTAATCATATTGATCCTGAATGATTCTTATAAAAGTGTATTACTAGGCATTATATTGTTATTTTTATATGTTTATTTTCCCTATAAGTAACCTTGTACAAAAGAAATCTTTTCTTCCATTATATCTTTTAACTAGTTGTTATTTAAATACATGATAGCTTTTTTTTTTCATTTTGATTACTCCTTGTTGATGAATTCTCTTATTCTTTGTGTACTTTAGATGATCCCACCAGCTTTGGACCTGATGCTTAAGTGAGAAATAAACTTCTATTGTGTGAAGACACTGAGATTTTGGGCCTGTTATTGCAGCATTTCCTGGCTATCTTGACAGATGTGATTTTTTTTAAAAAAAGATGCCCAATACACTATTAGGGTAAAATTTTGTAGGAGCAGTGGAATGGAAGCAAGAATTCAAACAGAAAAAGGAACAACGAAATTTCATACTGTTACAGAACTTATTCATGTACTTTTAAAATGAACAATAGTGGCAATCAAATCACCATGATCTCTACATTCCAGTAGATGTTTCAAAGAATGACATCCAGTTTTATTTAAAACTCTCTGTATTTACAGTGTTCCAGAAATCACGTCCTTTGCAACTACCTTAACTTGCACTGAAATCTTATAGATGCTAAGTAGAGTCTTTAGGAATGGTATGGGGTGTTCCTCAAGAACAAGTTGTTCTCTGCTCCATCAGGGCAAGCTAGACTGCCTGGGCTCTTTCTGATAAATACAGGTTCACAGGGTTGTCCTTTCTCTTGGCCCTAGCCAGATGACTTATCCCAGCCTGCACCAGAGGACTTCTCCACCTCCCTTCAAGGAAGACCCATTGGTTCTGAGCTCAGGAAGGGAACTTGTAGTACTTGTAGTACTATTAATGCTACAGAGACAGTGAGAACAGTTCTGAAAGTCAATAAAAGGTCACTGCCATCAATCCAGTGTCAACAGGAGTCCCCAATTCAGGGTGCAGTAAAAGGACAGGCTTAATTCAGGTGAACAAGAAAATGCAGCCTCCAGCAGAAATGGAAAGCACACTCCCACGGACAGGAGGCTGGCTGTTTGTACCTGCCCTAATCCTTGATTGGTTCATTGTTATGCAGTCCAAATTTGCCTTCTATTGATCCAAATTGCACTGTCCTGATTGATCCTTATGGAGCCACTGCATTGGGGTAAAGATGCAAATAAGGATATATCTGTGCACCTCCAATTGGACAGGCAAGTCTCAGCCAATTGGTCAAAACAGGATTCCAGGAACTCCTTTATAAGATTGGACTCAGAAGACAGAAATGTAGTGCAGGAGGCTTGGCAGCTTAGTTTCTGACTTTTCCTGACATGCAGGTGCATGGGAGACCTCTGTAAATAATGGCTGCTAGACTCTGGTTATGACTTTGGAGCTCAGTTAACCAGTTTTTTGACATGTATATTTCTTCCTGGGGTCAACATGGGAAAGCTAAAAGCCAGAACTTCCCCTTTAAGAGCAAACACTCTGAAGTCAGAAACGAGTTTGAATCTTGGGTCAGCTTCCTAGTAGTTGTGTGTTGAGCAAGTTTGTCAGCCTGTTTCTGAATTTCTTCATTTGTAAAATGATTTATTATGTGTATTAAGTGACTTAATGAATGCAGAACATTGAAAAGTGTCTGGGAGAGTGAGTGCTGTGTCGACACTGGTAGCCACTGCGTGGTACTTCTGCTTCATGGCTGAAGCATGCTCTTGGCGAGGTAGCATATACCCCTACCCTCACCACCGCTAAATCAGCCCTGGCTACAGGAGTTAGGCCTGGTGCTCAGCTCTCTAGAGCATCACAGCCAGGAGTGGGTCACCCAACATCGCCCCTTGGCATGTTTACATGAAGGTTCTTCCAGGGCAGAGGCTATCTTTAAATACAAAATCAAATACATTTTCTCATACCATTGTAATTAACCTAGTTATTAATAACAGGAAAGGAGCCAAGTTAAGGCCAAATATCATGGGCATATTCTTTGTTCAGCTTTGCCAGGAAGCTGCAGTTTAACACTCCGCTGGTCTATTCCCTGCAGGTCGATGGGGGAAGGGACTGAACAGGTGGAGCATAGCCACAGGCCCAGTAAAGTCTGAGTGTAATAGGGAAGGTGTTTATCTGTCAGTCACACCTGGGAACAGATCATTGGCCAAAGTAGGTGTCTCGGCTGCAAGCACAGGAAGATTTGTGATAGTTAATCCCCTAAACAAAAAAGTCCATTCTTTTGCCGCCCCTGCATCCACCTACATGGCTAACGGCCTGTGGACCCCACACAGTGGACTGCAACTAGGCTGATGCTATATCAGGCCCAACTTCACCATGGAAACTTTAGACTCTGGTGCTGGCTTTGCTTCTAGCTCTACTGAATCCCCAGCTTCCCGTCTTTCAAAACTGAATTAAAGGAAATGGGACTTTGGAAACTTGGAGATGTAATTCCACTCAAGTAAAAATCACTCATCCCTCCCACGCGAGTCTCAGAAAATTATTTTTCTCTAAATATAAGGACCCCAGCACTCAATAGGAAGAGGGATACCCCACTTCCACTGATGATAATAAAATGTTAATAAACCGGTACAATTACGTTCCAATATGTTCTTTCCATAATGCATCAGTAGGAGCAGCAAAAAAGGCTTGAGGAAAAACATTCCATATGAGCGCTTGAAAAGGGAAACAGAAACCACCCCGCTGGCGCCATGGGCCTCTGGCTAAGCGCCTTTCAAACCATCTGGATGCTGGGAGGGTCGCCACAACACTCCCTCATTTCCGTCTCCCGCAGAGGCACCAGGCGCCGCTTCGAGGCCCAAGGGAACTTGCACGTCACCTCCCCAGCCCGGAAGGTGCAGTGGATTGACGTGCTCCGCACCCCAGCCTGGGCGCGCTCCAAGCGGAAGTCAGAGGTCCGGGCTGCGCAGCTTCAGTGGGGAAGCGGGGTTTTGGAGAGGGGGGCCGGGCCTAGGGGGCCCCAGAGACCCGACAGCGAGGCTCAACCCACGCGACGAAGTAGGCCTCCGCGGCGCTCTCTGCTTGCGGAGCCCCAACGTCAAGCCAGTCCCGAGCAGACGTGTACTCGTCCTCCAGGCCTAGAAGGCCACCGCTGCGCGGTGAGTGCGGCGAGCGTCCCACTCGCTAGGCGCTGCTGCCCGCCGGAAGTGCGGTGCTTTATGCAGCCCGCTTGGGGCGGCACCGAGGTCGAGCCCGTCACTCTGGTCCTTCCGCGCCCCGGAAGGAATCCGCTGCGCTTTGTTCCGCTGGGCCAAGCTGGGCGGTGTTGGGTACGGGGTCCTGGGACGCGGAACCTGGTAGGGGAGCGGGGCGCGGGCAGGTGCGTTGTGGGTCGCGGGAGCTGCTGCGTAGGTGGAGACTTTGCACAAGAATGTTCTCTGGGTCTCTTTAAGGTCTGAGTTAGATCAGATTAGGAAATTGGATGAAAAATGGGGAAGCATCGGGTTTTTGTTTCTGTAACTTAGGTTTAGATTCTTATGATTTTAATAATTTCATATATGTAAACTACTCTGTTTACCCACGAAGTAAAAATTTCTCTCTTTGCCTGACAGAAACCTAGTGTTTGCCCTCCAGCTGGATGAAAGGCTTTTAATGTTTTCTTCAGAAAGGGCATTTCGTGGCTCAGTCTGGGTTAACTTTGAAAAGGAGTGGTGGAGTTTTACAACCTGTCTACAAACAGGGTATTTCTCCTTTATAGTATAAGTGGGCACTCAATGGGTTGTATAAGTTAATGCTTAATTAAAGTCATACATAAAAATATTTTGGAATGTCTTGGCATGCAAGAAAAATTTTTAAATGAAAAGGTTTGTCTAGTTTCCACTCCTTAAATTTTCAAGTCACCTTTGTGTTTGTAATTTAAGGTTACTTTCCCAAATAGTATATGAAAAACTAGATTAAAAGTTTCTGTATTTGGCAATAATAGGGGCGCATTTTTAAACTTTGGTAGGTATAGAAGTAGTGGATTATTTTTGCATTGACAGCCAAGAATTGAACAATTCAAAGCTATTTTTTTCTAATGTTGAAGCTACTGTGGTACACATTGTGAAATTTTTTTGTCTCTCTTAAGCTACGCGGGCTCCCAACGAGTGTTTGCATACATTACTTATGTTTAGTCCTGGTGTGGTCTGGTAGAGGTCCCTGAAGGCTTTAAGAGTTGGAGACAGCCTGCTTCCTTGGGTTCTGCTTGGTGTTTTTTGTGTAGTGGTTGCTAGAAATGCTGAGCTGGTAGCGCCCCCCTCTTCCTGCCTCTGCTTTTCAAAATAGTGGATTGGGCTCTGTGTGTAGAGCAAGTGCTTGCTACCCATGAGGAGGGAGGAAGCATTATCTGCTGCAGTTGGTACCCATGCCATCCTATCAGGTCCTCCTGTATTTGTTAGGATTTTCAGTTATTCCACTCCACAACTGCGTTTCAGATCATTTCCATTTTAAGGTTAGAGAGAATTGCAATGCCAAAATTATTTGAATTTTCAAACATTGGGACAATGAGTAAGTAGTGTAATGCTACAGAAGTAGAGGATTAGAATTGGAAAAAAACTTAAGTACCCTTAAAAATATTATTTTAACTTTTTATAGGTTTTGTAGTTTAAAGGGAAATTTTTGTGTACCAAACTTGTCTTACATAAACATCTTCTTTTCGTGGATCAGTTAACAATTTAAAAATGCAGTCAGTATATGTGTTCCACTCTATACCATTGAAGTTTCTCCAATTGTTCTATGCAGAAATACATGAATTTATCCCAATAGATTGCAAACCTTGGTAGTGAAGGTAAAGTTTGTGGGAATTGAGAATTTTCTCCTATTACATGCTCTTGATGATGTTATAACGTCACTGAGAATTTCCAGTGTTGATTGTACAAAGGGGTATCGTATCTTGTATATTAGTGTCTCATAGGTAGAATTTAAGCCCCTTAAGATTAGTTTTGTTGACATGAAATACTAATATATAAGGCCTTTAAAATTTTATAATTACTATTTTGTGGGGGAACTTTATTTAGGTCATATCATGTTTTGAAACTAGAGAAAATAGTACAGTGATGGGTTTTAAATATACTTTTCCTGTGGTTATTATTGGATTTTCAAATTGAAGACTTTTTACTGTCATCTCTTTTAAAGGTAAACCTGAGGTTTTTCTTCTGATGCAGGTATCAAACCACTCATAGGAATTCTGACAGTTGAGTCATTACAAATGGGAAACTTAAAAAAAAGAAAAAGTGATATCCTCTGGATCCAGCCTCAGATTTGGGATTCTTGGTCCATACCAACCAAATCAGACTGGGAAATTGAGGGTTTCTGAGTAGCCAAAGGCACTAGAATTCCAGACAGAGTAGTGATGGTGTGTTTTTTCCTTACATTTTCATTATGCAAATTTCAAAGTATAACAATCCAGTATACAGCCACATACCCAACATCTCAGTGCAACAATTATTAGCATTTTGTTGTAGTTTTTTTAATTACTATAGGCATCATATCATTTTTATTCTTATGTGTGTTAGTATGTATTTCTAGGGGAAAAAAGACCTTTATTAACCGAAATACTATTATCACACCCAACAAAATTCACAATTATTTAATGCCATTTGATACCTAGTGCATATTCAGTTGTGTCCCAAAATCTTTAACATACCATTTTACAGTTTTTTCCAATGTAAATCAGGATACAAACAAAATCCACGTATGGCCTTTATGTCTAAATATGTTTTAATCTAGAACTGTCCTCCCCACTCCTCCACCTTTTTTCAGACCATTGACATACTGAAGAAACTGGGTCATTTGCCTTCTAGAAAGCCCACCTTTTGGGTTTGTCTGATTGCTTCATGGTATTGTTAGGCATATTCCTCCAACTCCTGTCTTTTCCTGTAAACCAGAAGTTATGGAACGGTTCCGTTAGATTCAGATTTTAATGTTTTTGTAGCAGTACACCTTAGATAATGCAGAGTAATGTCATCACATTAAGATGGACATAACATTAACTACTTTGACTTTTAGTGATGTTAAGATTGGTCAGTGGGTTCAGCTTTCATATTCACTAACCAATAAATAGATGTATTTCATCAATTATGAATTAGATTTTAAAATGTCTCATCATATTTATTACTATGAAAAGTCCTATATTTTCTGTTGGATAGTTCTTTTATTCAGGAACATTCAGAAGATATTTATGAGCCACCTCTGTGCCAAACACTGTGCAGGGAGACAGGGCCAAATAAGTTGTTTTCCCTCCCCTTGAAGCACACAATATTGGGAGGGAATCTCTTTTTAAAAAAAAAAAATTTTTTTAATTGAGAGAGAGAAATCGGTTGCCTCCCCAACAAGCCCCCCAAACATGCTCCTAGAACATGCCCCGACCCCACAACCTGGGTATGTGCCCTGATTGGAAATCAAACCACAACCTTTCGATGTATGAGATGACACTCCAACCAACTGAGCCACACTGGCCAGGGAGAGAAACTCATTTGATCAAGTAACTTAAGGTGCTGTTTGACGTGTTCATAGACCTTATTTTTGTATTACCCAATGCAAGCCCTTTTGTTGAATTGGAGAGGGAACTGCAACATTTCTTTCATCAATTCTGTTACCATGTTTTCTTACCTATAATTTTTATTTATTTATTTTTAAACATATCTTTATTAATTTCAGAGAGAGGAAGGAAGAGAGAGAAACATCAATGATTAGAGAGTCATTGATTGGCTGCCTCCTGCACACCCCTGAATGGGGATTGAGCCCACAACCTGGGCATATGCCCTGACTGGAAATCAAACCATGATCTCCTGGATCCTAGGTCAATGCTCAACCGCTGAGCCATGCCCAGCTGGGTCTTACCTATAATTTTTAATTCACTATGACTTTTTAATCACTTTAGGAAATATTTATCATTAGCTTCTGGGAAGTAAAAGTGTTTTCAGGAAAGGTAACCTCTGGGTGGTTTGGAATTAATGGTATTTAGAATTCAAATGCAATTCTATAAATTTTTTAGTGGTGAGTGTAGAGTATATTTTTATTATTGGTTAAACTATAAGTCAGGTCATTTTGGAAGGAGAGCCTTGTGGTGTTCAGTGCTTTGAGTTGTTTGCAATTGTTTGCCATTATGCATAACATTTGTGTACAAGTTTTCGTGTGATTGTATATTTGCACTTCTCTTGAGCAATTTTCACTTAGGAATGGAATTGCCAGGTCATCTGGTAACTTGTTTTTAACTGCCATGCTATTCATGAGCTTTATTGCCTGCCAGGTGACATCTCCTACTCAGTTCCACATTTAAGATTTTCTACATGATGGTTCTAACTTAACCTTTGTCTCCATATCATCTGCTGATTCCCTACATATAGCCTAAGCGCCGAATGAGACTTGTTGCCCAATATTCCTAAAGTGCATCTTGCATTTTCTCATTTCCATGACTTTTTGAGATCTTACCTGCTGTTTAGAGCTGATTGGAAATACCTCCTCTGTAATCAAGTTTTCCCTGACCATTCCTCCCCCACTCAACCCTCACTTTATTCTTTTATGGCTTTTAACACTCTATGCCTTGTATCACCATTATTTGTGTCTTGTCTTATAGACCTGTGTTGTCCAATACAATAGCCATCACCTACTGGTGACTGTTTAATTAAAACTTAAATTTAAGCTAAGATGTAGTTCCTTAGATGTGCTGGCCGCATTTGAAGTGTTCAGTAGCCATTAGTGGCTACTATATGTGGACAGCAGACACATTTCCATCTTCACAGAAAGTTCTATTGGACAGCACTTTTCTATTTTGTAAACTCAGAACAGGGACTGTGACTTGATTTTTTGTTTTCTCTATGGCCTTTGCCTAGTGCTTTGCTTGTCTTGAATTCAATTAAGGAAATATAATTAGATCCTGGAACAGAATAGAGAAATCATTTTGAGAAATACTCAATTCTTGAGAGATGATAGTTGAACCAGAAAGCTAGATGAAATATGTGAGGGACTCCACAATTCTTATGTTGTAAATCTACCAAGAATGGGTTAAAAGTGCAGGATAATAGGGATTGGCAGTTGCCAATTTGGTTATTCTTAAACTATGGGGTAAAAATTCACAATTGATTCTCCTGCTTACTTGTTATATACCTTCCTATCCTTGTTTTCTCTGTAGTCTGTTTGTAGGCCTGTGCTGTTCAATGTGGTATCCCCTAGCCACATGTGAGTAAATTGAAATTGAAATTTAGTAAAAGTAAAATAATCATATCTTATACTAGCCACATTTTTGGGGTGCCCAATAGTTCCTTTTAGCTAATGGCTATCACGTTGGACAGCACAGATAGAGAATATCTGCCTTGTTGCAGAAAGTCTTCTGGATAGCATGGATCTAGACTTATTTTTTTCTTAGCTCTAGTTGTAGATGTCATGGAAAATTTGGCATCTGCCTTTGGTTTAGAAGTTTAAATAAATTAGACAGTTATTCAGGTAGTGAATGTCCCAGTCACTGATGTCCCCAGTTTATTCCTAATTTTGATTAGAACTTGTTACAAAGGTTAAGGATGTGACTGATTATATTTTTTGTGTGTATTGAACTGCTTGGTTGTGAAAATTCTAAAGGAGTCGCGTGAACTGAAAATTTGAAGTGGTTTGTTTTTGTATTTTGTCTTTGTAATGGAATTTGATATCTAGAGTTTTGAGGTGCATGTTTTTTTAGATAGCCAGCAGGTAGGTGCACCTGTTTTGTGCCAGACATTGTTACTGGTGCTGGAGGTACTGCAGTAAATAGGTCCAAGTCCCCTGTTCCCTACCTGCATGGGGCTACATTCTAGTTGGGGGTGTAGTGGAGAAGGCTGAACAATGCATGTGCATTTTATGTGTTTTTATTTTTTAAATAGACCTTATTTTTTAGAGCAGTTTTAGGATCACAGCAAAATTAAGCAGAAAGTACAGAGAATTCCTGTGTACTACCATTTGCCCACTCCTCCCCCTTCCTCTTCCCGCTTCCCATGGTATTTTTATTGTTAAATGTAAGGTTGCCTTAATCCTTACTACCACATAAATCAGTGAGTGGTTAGATGAGAATACTGAAGAGTCTTAATTAAGCTCACACTTTAAAAATACATTGGGTGATAAAATTCAGACTGGCTTGCTGGAGATATTAAAGATAATCATTTTTGGGGGAAGAGTGTAAAATCATGATTGTAGATGTGCAAGTTCTTGAACTTTTTAGGAAAAAATGTTATGAACGATAGAACACTGAATGGGTAATAGACTTGCTGTACCGTAGCTAACTTGTCTTTTTTAGGAAATATATGTATATTTAACAGAAGGTATTTAAGAAATAAGAAAAGTGCAAAAAGAATACTAAACCCACCCCATCTAAAGACAGTTATTCTTTATTTTTATTTCCTCCCAGACTTTTTTCTGTTTGTGCTGGGGGTGCCATGCCTTTACGTCTAGGTACAAATTTAAGATCATGCTGCATAATGCAATATTGTCCCCTTCTGTTTTTCACTTAACATTTTTAAAAGCAGCTGCATGAGCCCTAGCCAGTTTTGCTCAGTGGTTAGAGTGTTGGCCGGAGGACTGCAGGGTCCTTTGGCCAAAGGCACATACCTTGGTTTCAGGCTCCCCTGGATCAGGGTGTGTGCTGGAGGCAACCAATTGATTCACATCGATATCTGTATCTCCCTCTCTTTCTCTCTCTCTCCCCCATCCACCCACTTCTACTCTCCCTGAAAAGCAATGGAAAAATATCCTCCAGTAAGGATTAAAAAAAAATTTTTTTAAATATAAGCAACTGTATGATATTTCATGTTGTGGGTAGATCTGTTTTACTTAACTATTCTTTTCTGTTATAAGGACATTTAGGTTATTTACAGATTTGTTTTCACTCTTTTAAGCAGGGACATAGAGAATACTTTTTTTCCTTAGCTTGTGATGAACTGAAGCAGATGTAAAGAAAGTTTACAGTGTCCTGGTGGGTACCTGTGAGGACTTTGCTGTTGATTTTCTGTTCACTGTGGGTTGGCAGCAGCATGAGATACCTTGTTTATGTAAAGGAGAGGAAGGACTCTTACTACCTGCTTTTTTGAGACTGATGCTGGAGGAAAACCTGAGAACAATAGTGTTTGACTAAATCACTTATTTTTTCTTTTTAGTTCTTAAAGTCATGAATCCTGTTTATAGTCCTGGTTCTTCTGGGGTTCCCTTTGCAAATGCCAAAGGGATTGGTTATCCAGGTAAGCAAGTACAATTTTGTTTTCATTATTGAACTTTGAATTTAAACACTGGTGAATTTCCATGTCACTAAGAATGCTTTCAGTTGAAAACCCAGCACAAAGTGGCTTAGTTAAGGAAGAAAATGCATTGGCTCATGGAACTGAAAAATCAGGATACTGGAAAATCGAGAGCTCTAGTGACTCCTGTGGTTTGGACTAGGATCTAGTTTCTCTGCCTCCTGGGCTCAGCATTACTTCCTCAGTATTAGCTCAGTGTTTGTCACAGGTCATACTTCTCCCCATTGTGGTTGCTCTGTTTTTAGTTTTTACTATCTGTCCCTTGGCTAGCAGCCTTTTTATCTCTGACTTACAGGGAGGCCCCATGGGCATTGTTATTCTCTGTTCAAACCAGTAGTGTGCTTTGTTCTAATTAGTGTCAGCTCCTATCCGTGGACCACATGCCCACCATTATTATTATTATTTTAAAATTTATCTGTATTGAAAGTATTACAGATATCCCCTTTTCTCTGCATTGACCCCTTCGACCCCGCACCCACTCCCCACCTCAGGGCTTCACCACACTATTGTCTGTGTCCCTGGGTTATGCATATATGCATATAAATTCTTTGCTTAATCTCTCCCCACCTACCCACCACCACCTTCCCTCTGAGATTCGGCAGTCTGTTCCATGCTTCTCTTCACTGAATCTGTTTTGTTCATCAGTTTATTATGTTCTTTACATTCCACATATAAGTGAGATCTTATGATATTTGTCTTTCTCTGCCTAGCTTGTTTTGTTTAGCATAATACTCTCCGGACCCATCCATAATGTCCCAAAGGGTAAGAGATCCTTCTTCTTTGCAGTTACATAGTATTCCGTGGTCTAAAAGTCCCACAGCTTTTTTATCCACTCATCTACTGATGGGCACTTGGGCTGTTTCCAGATCTTAGCTATTGTAAATTGTGCTGCTACGAACATAGGGATGCGTATATTCTTTCTGATTAGTGTTTCGGGATTCTTAGGATATATTCCTAGTAGTGCGATCATTGGATCAAAAGGCAGTTCGATTTTTAATATTTTGAGGAACCTTCAGACGGTTTTCCATAGTGGCTGTACCAGTCTGCATTCCCACCAGCAGTGTACCAGTATTCTCCTTTCTCTACATCCTTGCCAGCACATGTCGTTTGTTGAGTTGTTGATGTTAGCCTTTCTGACAGGTGTGAAGTGATAGCTCATTATGGTTTTAATTTGCATCTCTCTGATGATTAGTGATGTTGAGCATTTTCTCATATGTCTCTTGGCCATCTGTATGTCCTCTTTGGAGAAGTGTCTATTTGGGTCCTTTGCCCATTTTTTAATTGGATTATTTGTCTTATTCCTGTTGAGTTGTATGAGATCTTTGTATACTTTGGAAATTAGCCCCTTATCAGATACATCCTTGGCAAATATGTTCTCCCGTACCATGGGATTCCTTTGTATTTTGAGAATGATTTCTTTTGCTATGCAGAAGCTTTTTAGTTTGATGTAGTCCCATTTGTTTATTTTTTCCTTTGTTTCTCTTGCCCTATGAGATGCATCAGTGAAAGTTCTGCTGCTTGAGATGTCTGTGATATAACTGCCTGTTTTCTTCCAGGATTTTTATGGTTTCTTGACTTACATTTAAGGGTTTTTTTAATCCACTTTGAATTTATTCTAGTATATAGAGTAAGTTGGTGGCCTAGTTTCATTTTTTTGCATGTACCTGTCCAATTTTCCCAGCACCATTTCTTGAAGAGACTGTCTTTACTCCATTGTATGCTTTTGCCTCCTTTGCAAGTATTAATTGACAATAATGGCATAGGTCGATTTCTGAGGTCTCTGTTCTTTTCCATTGATTTATATGTCTGTTGTTGTACCAGTATCAGGCTGTTTTGATTACAATGGCTTTGCAGTATAGTTTGATATCCAGTAAAGTGATCCTACCAACTCTGTTCTTCTTTCTCAAGATTGCTGTGGCTATTTGGGGTCTTAGTTGGTTCCATATAAATTTTTGGAATATTTGTTCTAGCTCTGTGAAGTATGCTGTTGGTATTTTAATAGGGATTGCATTGAATCTATAGATTCCTTTAGGAAGTATAGACATTTTAATTATGTTAATTCTTCTAATCCATGAACACTATATATTCTTCCACTTGTTTATATGTTCCTCTATCTCTTTTTGCAATGTCCTGTAGTTTTCCAAGTACAGGTCTTTTACCTCCTTGGTTAAGTTTATTCCTAGGTATGTTAATTTTTTTGTTGCAATGGTAAATGAGATTGTTTTTTTAGTTTCTCTTTCTGAGAGTTCATTATTGGTATATAAAAGGCCATCGATTTCTGGGTGTTAATTTTGTATTCTGCTACTTTGCTGAGTTCATTTTTTAAATCTAGTAGTTTTTTGGTGGTCTTTAGGGTTTTCTATATACGATATCATATCATTTGCCAATAATGACAATTTTACTTCCTCCTTTCCAATTTGAATACCTTTCATGTTTTCTTCTTGTCTGATTGCTGTGACAAGGAATTCCAGTACAATGTTGAATAAGAGTGGTGAAAGCGAACAACCCTTGTTCTTGTTTTTAAGGGAAATGGTTTTAGTTTTTGGCATTGAGTATGATGTTGGCTGTAGATTTCCCTCTATTCCCACTTTGCTGAGAGTTTTTATCGAAAATGGGTGGTGGATTTTGTCCAGTGCTTTTTCTGCATCTTTTGATATGATCATATGATTTTTGTTTTTCATATTGTTTATGTGATGTATTGCATTTATTGATTTGCAGATATTATACCAGCCTTGCATCCCTGGAAGAAATCCCACTTGGTCGTGTTGTACGATCTTCTTAATGTATTGCTGGATCTGGTTTGCTAGTTTTCTGTTCAGATTCTTTGCATGTATATTCATCAGGGATACTGGCCTGTAATTTTCTTTCTTTATAGTGTCTTTATCTGGTTTTGGGATTAGGATGATGCTGGCCTCATAAAAAGAGTTTGGGAGTTTTCCCTCCTCTGAATTTTCTGGAATAGTTTGAGGACAATAGGTATTAATTCTTCTTTGACCCTTTGGTAAAACTTGCCTGTAAATCCATTTAGTCCCAGACTTTTGTTTGCTGGGAGTTTTTTGATTACTGCTTCAATTTCATTAATTGTTATTGGCCTATTCAAATTTTCTCATTCTTCCTGATTCAACTTTAGAAGATTGTATGTTTCTAGGAATTTGTCTGTTTCACCCATGTTGTCCAGTTTGTTGGCAATATAGTTGCTCATAGTGTTTTCTTACAATCCTTTGTATTTCTGTTGGGGCAGTTGTTATTTCACCTCTTTAGTTTCTGATTTTATTTATTTGGGTCCTCTCTCTTTGTTTCTTAGTGAGTCTGGCTGAAGGTACATCAATCTACTTATCTTTTCAAACAACCAGATTTTGGTTTCATTGATCTTTTGTATTTTTTTTTTTAGTCTCTATGTCTTTTTTTTTTTT